CCAAAGAATTCATAGTACCTAAAGCTGGTAACTTTTTTCTAGATTCATTGAAGGTATTTATGAGACCCCCACCATTATTGTTTCCTCAGTTACGATAATGGACAAAAAAAGTCGGAACTAGTTCCCACCAACTAATCCAAAATTCCAATCCCCCGCTGCTCTCTCCCTGTTTATTAATCAAGCACAAAAATTAGGTTCAATCTATATTTTTTTCCCCTCACCCTGTAACGAAGACAATAAATTGAATAGGAGCTAGCTAGCCAATTAACCACTTTCAGTCTCTGTTTGGTCCGTCATCCTAGCTGCTGCCTCATCCGATGTGCTGTTTGACCCTTGCCTCTAGGATGTTGAAAGTACATCAGACGAAAGTCTCCTCCTCCACCACCATCACTACTACCTGCTTGGGATAAGAATTTGTGAATTATGGATGAGCGGCAAATAAATGATGTAAGTAAATTATGGTGTGAGATTTTATGCTTGTAAGATCTTTTGTATATTTTATTCCCTCTCATAGGCATGTTCTATTATAGGTATTTTTTTATATTCACCATATTTTGTGAATATTTATTGCTAGATTTGCTAAAAGTTATTTCCGTTCTATTTCTTTTGGAAGCAAGGTGAAGCAAACAAACTCCTTTAAAGATAGAATTTTTTTTTTTTTTTTTGTAATGGAACACTGAGGTTAGAATTGTAGCATAAATGATGTCATTCATGGTAATGCACCCCATAATTGCAATAGGAGGTTAATATTGATTGGCTTAGAATATAATATGGTAACGCCCCCCATAAAGAGTTTAATAATTGTTGTCGTATCCGCATGTTTCCTTAATTTGCTGATAATATTATTGTGATTACTTTTCCTTGCGTGACTATTCAATTGTAGTATGGAATGTTTTGACAATGGTAATCTGATAATATTAATTTATGGATGAAATGTAAACAGAAAGGCAGAAAGACTTAGCACTACTTATAATAAATATATAATCAGCAGCACTTCTCGTGGCCAAGTACCCATAGTTATGGTATTACATGATTAAGTAGATTTTATTTCTGGGTTTCGGGGGAAGTTGGTAAAAATATCGCCATGGACTTTAATAACTGCAGTTTCCACGATAAATTTAAGTTACCTTGCTTAAGTTTTGTTAATAATGATATGGATACAATCTATGTTAAGTTTTGTTAATAGCATGGATTTTAAACGATATATGGACACTTGAAAATGATACAATTCATAAAAACAAAAAAGGAAATCCCATGTTCCAAGATGAAGTACTATATATAATATCAGCTGTGCATCTTTGTTTGCGTTTACTCATGTGTTGCCTCGGTGACTCAGTGCACCGACCCTGGTCTATTATCTAGTCAATGTTAAAATGATTAACCAACTTCTATGTCTGCTCCTTTATACTTTACGTACCCTGCCAGTTTCTTTTGTTTTGAAATAGTCATGAGAAATCCTCTTTTACTACGGAACACACCCATCACTCACATATGTGGAAAAATCCTGTGTTGAATGTGAATACAAGATCGCCCTAACTTTTTCACTTTTCTCATCATTTTTATGCGCGTGTACAACCAAAAAAGTGCCTAAATAGTATAAGTGTTTCAATAATATTTTCTTACATAAAATTATGTATAAGTGCCTCAATAGTATCATCGAACTTTTTATTTCTCGTAGCGTCTATTGTTTAATATGGAACTATGTTGATAATTATTATTGTTTTTTATGTAGGCTAAAGTTCTACGAGTTAAGTGGAACTCACTATCCGCTACAAAGAAATCAATGTACAAAGAGCGTCATCGAAAAACTAAAGTTGAATACATCGCAAACAATAGAGATGACAATGCCAAGGTAATGTAAAGATATGAATTATAAAATTACTTATTATTCTAGAAATTTGTAATACAATCTGCTAAAATATGTTATTAATCTTTCTTTGAAATATGTGGCATTGGTGATGGAATTTAGAGATATCACTTATTACTATGTTTCCATAATATCTGATGTTAGAGATTAATCATAGCTGTGCTATGTATTTTCAGTTAACTATTCCAACCAGAACATCACTCCGAGGTGTACATAACATCATACAAAATCTAGTTCCGGAACAAAGAACCTTAATCATAGGAATTGGCATGGGAAGCTTACTTGAAATCAAGTGCAAGAACATTCATAATGCTTTATGTGAATGGTTAATAAATAGATTTGATTATAAAAATTGTACACTGAATGTTCATGAAAAGGTCATTCCAATAACTACAAAAGATGTTGAGATAGTCTTGGGTTTAAGTTGTACTGGGGTTGACTTGAGTACAAATCGATGCATAGCAGACGATGTTAAAAAATTGTCAATTGACCTTGGTTTTCAAGAGTCTGGTTTAACGCTTAGCAACTTGAAGGCAAGGTTGATGTCAAGTAATGGTAGTTGTGATGATAATTTTAAAAGATGTTTTATTTTGTACATGTTGGGAGCTATCCTATGTCCAACTACCGGACTCAGTGTTAAGCACGGTTTTCTTCGAGTTGTGCAAGATGCTTCCAATCTTAGCAATATCAATTGGAGTAAAATGATTCTTCAAGAGTTGATCGCATCTGTGAAGAAGAAGCGTGAAAAGAATCAGCTTGGGTTGCGTGGCTGTATTTATTTTCTTATGGTGAGCATTTTTCAACTTATCTCATGTGCAATCGTATTACTACAAGTTCTTAATGTTATTATGCATTTTTTCACAAAGGCCGATGCTCTCTCATAAAAGTGCCGTTAGCATATATAGGAAAGCAACACACTTTTTTTTTGGGTCAAAAAGTTACACTCGTTTAGGAGTAAAAACTTCTAATGCTCGCAGAAGTAAATAAGCGTACGTGCTCCTACAACAGAATGGATGTTACACCGCCATTAATGTGGTAAGGGCATCCACTTGAATAGGAACACAAAAAGCATCCAAACCATATGCTTGGTTTCAAACTCCAAAACTCATTTCGAAAGCTGCAGAGTTTCGAAAGTTCCTGCTTTATGGAGACAAGCAAAGCACATAAACGCACAGGCACTTGGTTAACAGAGCAAAAAATGAATCGCAGCACTTCATGTCATGCTTATTTCTTAGAATTTCACCTCCTTACATTGAAATGCAATGCTGGATTTAAAGTTCCGTATGCAACGTGTTCTTCCACCTAAGACCTTAAACATCGGAATTCCAGCCTAATTATAATGAACCTCATTTGCAGCAACTAGATTAATCTGGAAGAAGCAACGGCCTGCAAAGAATCAGAGCATATCATCATAAGGAAATCAATCATTTGATGCTTACATTGGCTTATGTCGCTATTGCTTGTCCAGGTTCATGCATACAGTTTGAATGTTTAACCACTAACAAAAATAGCAACCTGAGATTTAATATCATTTACCGACCTTTAATAACTGATACTTACGCACCAAAATTAAGCTGGCAGGAGACTAGATATAGATATCTAAGCATGACAAGATTACATGGAGTAGAACTGAATTTAGAGCACAAAGACTTTGGGTTCAAAAAACTGAACCAATCAAAAGGCTAGTAACTTAATTTGAGAACATGATCACCAGTGTCAAGAGCTCTGATATCACAATAAAAGCATTAATTGTTGAATTGAAATTTCTAAATTACAAACCCAAGAGCACTTGGATTCTAACAATATCTGAGGTGACTAAAATGATGGAAACTATGAAAGTATCAGAATTTGATCAAGTGATTTATTTCATTTTAGGTTTTTCTCTGTATCTTGATATCGTTTGCGTGCAATACATCAAAATGCCTTTTCAGCATAAACAACAAGTGCTCATAATTGTGTTATTTAGTAAGTAAGCATAACAGTTTTGAAAAGAAAATAACATACTTCAACAATTATGAGCATAACTCCCATCAACAATGTTTAACTTCCAATTGAAACTTAGAAAAATTGAATGTTCTGAAATGCCAATTCTTGAAATTGAACGCCATCATTCACCAAACTTTTTTCCAAGAAAGCTGAAATTATTCACATTAAAATTAGTAAATACCAGAAATTGCAAGCTAAGGAGATTATGTTCAGATGTACAATCAAAACGCATTAAACTACCTTCGAAGAAACTTAAATCATCCTAGAATTTTTTAGCAAAGACGAACTCAAAAATTTGTACCCTCTCAAGAATAAAATTCCTTAATTGTCTTGGCTGAAATCTGGTTCATTCACTACAAAACCATCAAAAGATTTGTATTAAAAAAAGGCCACAACAACACATAATCATAGCAAATAAGTAACATAAAACTTAGGCGTGAATAAGGAAAAATGTACCTGAACATTTTCGTCACCTAACAAGCTAGTGTTTCGTACATGACTTTGGATTAATGAAGGATTGCATGCCCACATTAATGCCTATACAAATGCAAATACAGCACAATTATATTTCATGTCTTCACACAAAAATAAAAGCAAGCTATACATTACCTGACCAGGAGGAATGATCTGAAACCAATTACTATCCATTAACCCCTTATTGCATCCACGCTGTGAATCTGATTGCAAATGGCCATAGGATGATCCTATCCGGTTTGAATTTACATTGTCAACATAATTGGGGGCTCCAACATGATCATAATTGTGAGTTTCGTATGCATCTGTGTACACTTTAGTACACTTTCGTCTATCATGTCCAAATGACCTGCGAAAAAAAAAAATTGCCAAGCACAAGCCATAAACATAAAGATTGAATTTATAAAGGAGTATATGAAGTGTACATATATAGCTAACATTTTTGGCCTTCTAACATCAAGCCAATGAGTATATGAAGTGTACATATATAACTATTGTAACCGTAGAATAAGTCAAATTTATGAGTAGATGATTACTTGCAATTTTTGCATTGTCGTCGCTTTCGCTTGTGAGTGGAATGTTTTGCCTTTTGTCCCTTTGTAGCAACAACAATTGGATCACGAACATCAAAATCACTCCTCTTTATGGACCCATCCATCATATTATCCTTTTTTTAAACTTTATGCACTAGAGGCGCATCATTCACCCAAAGATTTTTGAAACGAGATGCTGAATTTATAATGCACTCTCTAGCTTCATCATATCCTTGCTTTGTCTTAACTGCATAAAAACACATCTGATTACTTAATGCACACAAAGCACCAAAACGAGCTGCTTGAATTGCTGAATCTTCAAGTTGAATAGAATATATGTTTTTTTCGTTTGGCTTTGCTTGCTGAGTCCATCTAAATAGAATGCATGATTTAGGAATCTCGCCCATATCCTCATTTTTCATAACTGCAAACGCATTGGAACAAGGAATTCCATCTGACTCAAGTTTCTTACATGAACAAATAATAGACCGTTCAGCTTTATCCAATTCCACTTGCCAAGAGCAAATTTGATGCAAGTACTCAGTGAATGTATATAACTTTACCTTATCTTGATCAACAATTGAAACGAGGCGGAGTGAGGCTTCAGCAGAAATTTCATCACGAACCTTTAAAAAAATCTTTCTCATGAAAATGTTTGCAGCATTTCCTTCCAATTCTCTCAAATGAGTAATTAGAACAGGAGATGACTGACTCGTGATACATTCTTCCTTGTGTTCATTCTGTCTCACTTTTGATAAAAATAACTCAAATCGTTGAGCAAACGGATAAAGTAGCATTTTGAATTGAAGGTACTGTGCGCCGTAGCATTCAATTGCTCTGATCTTTGGGTCGATTTCATACCAGCAAAAAAGTGTCCTCTCAAAAATGCAGCGGCCCATTTTTCCCTTTTGTTGTATAAATCCACAACCCATTGGTTCTCTCTCAAATTGTGTTTCTCAACTAGCAAATGCCACCTTCTCTCAAACTCCTCATGGCTGCAAATCATGTCCATAGCCACACCAAAATCAAGAACAAACCCCTTATTTGTATTGGTAACAACATTTCTTTTTAAATGCCAAGCACATAATCGGTGACGGGCATAAGGAATGACTGCCTTTATTGCATTTCTCATTGCACCATCCCTATCAGTGACAACTGAGATAGGTGCCTTTTTTTCCATGGCCTCCAAAAATGTTTCTAATACCCACTTATATGTGTCCTCGGTCTCATCAACAATTAATGCACAGCCAAAAATTGTGGTAACATAGTGATGATTTACACCGGCCAAAATTACTAGTGGCTTCCTATAAGCATTAGTGCGGTATGTGGAGTCAAAAACTAGAACATCACCAAAATATTGGTAATCCAAACGAGATTGAGAATCTGTCCAAAACAGTCGTATCAATCGCTTCTCCACGTCAACAGCATACTTGTAAAAGAAATTCGGCTCACCATTTGCTCGACCATCCAAATATGCCAACACCTGAGAGGCATCACCAACTTCAACAGCATTCCTATGGAATTGGTCAACAGCGTTTCGTAGATCCTTTTCTGTGTATCCCATCTTGTTGTGGCCCCCAGCTTGGTAAGCTTGAAGGTCCACTATTTGAGGAATTCGAATACCAACTCTATGCATCAAAATATCATGCTCCAAGTCTGCTGGGTTGACACTCCTATGTGATCAAAGAAATTGTACAAATTCTTGATTTGCCAATTGGTGATTGTGATCCATATTAAACCGTTTAATTGTAAACTTCTGAATATCCTTGTTCCATTGCACAATTATAGTTGCCAGACAACCAACTCTCGTAAGACGTTTTGCCTCTTTCTTACGGTCTACTAAATTTAACCATTTGCTATTTCTAAAGCCCTCTCTGTTGCATACCCACCGTTTGTATGTCACAATACCTTTCTGATCTTTCTTTTCATCACGTTCTCTAATACCAAAACCGACCATTTTGCTATGACATAGGTAAAATTCTCTGGCATCTTCAATGGAATCAAATGTTAATAGTTGAATTTCATCAGAAGATAATTTGTCAAGCCGATCAACAATGGTTCTCCAACTTATACCACCACCAAGCTTGGCCGATTTGTTAGATAACTGTACTAGCTCATTTATATGAACTGTCATTTCTTCCATTTTCAGCGTGATCCTAGAAGCTATCATATCAAAGAAGCTATCGTGTCAGTCAAAGAAACTATCATGTCAATGTTTGTGTTGATGTATGTTTTATGAGATTTTTACTTAAATTCTTTATAGTACATATGAAAATATTACAACTTTGGACTCCTATGCAATCTATACTCAAGTTGATCATACCCAAAGATTGGAATTCTACGCAACCCGTACTCAAAGATTGCTGAAAGTAATGTTAAATTGCATAATTGCTTTAGAACAACTAGAATTTAAGAGGGGAAGGACAAAAATACTATCTAGATTCAAAAATAATTGAGTGAGTATAGTAACAGTCCATTTGGCAATTAGAACTTTTAATTTTCTCACCCGCACAAAGTAGCAATCATAACACACCAATTTCTCTTTGACATTTCACCAAACATCTTATATGCATTCACAAATTAATCACATTTAACTTAAACGCCTAGTCTCAAGTCCTTTGCTAGATGTTTCATATGGCTATTAAGCATATTTCACCGGTAGACAATCAAAACTACAACCATTTCCTAGATGTTTCGGTGGACATTTTCAGCCCCAAAATTGCAATAAAATCTTCAAATTCTCAGCCCTGGTTTCGCAAGAAAATCTTGACAAACAAAACAAATGAACTATAAATAAATTACAGCAATATAATCAAACGATTTCAAGAGGACATGATGGTCTAACCTCGTCACTGCTATTTTTCATATGCTCTTTGGTTGGCTACCACCGTCGCTAACCCTTTTATTGTGTCTGCATATGGCAGCACCCAAAAACAACTGATCGATGAGAAAGGATAGAGGGAAAGTGTGAACTAAAGATGAAAATATTGAAGTGAGAAAATTTATTCAATTGTATCCCAGAGAAAGTGTGGACCAAAGTGGAAACCTTTGCCTGGGAATTCAATCATATCATTGGAACTGAGAACTAAGTAAGAAGAAGGCAGATGACTTTAAAGAGATGATACCCGAAAGTGTTTCAGGAACCCAAAACCGTTTTCAGAAATTGGTAACTTTTTTACTTAAATATGAACATTTTTTACTTTTAGTATTAGTAAGTTTAATTTAAACATAAGTAAATTTTGTCAAATAATAAGTAAATTAAATTACTCAAAGTGTAAATTTCTATTTCTGACTAAAACTTATCTTTCAGGCATATACTTACTAGTTTTAATTAAAAACTTACTAAAGTTAATATTAATTACTTTAATATAATATTTAAAAAGGTCGCTAAAAATTTTGATCTGTCACTAAAGGTAATAGAAACCTATAATAGCAAGTTTCCCTAATATCGTTACCATAACTATAGGCACTGTAGCATTGTCAAGATCGAATGCTAAACTTCACAAAATGATGAATGGAAACTGATTTATTAGGATTAAATGACAAAATTAGCTAAAATATTAATCAAATGAAAATCAAAACTATAAATTCTTCAAAATTATTAAACCTTCCCTATTTCATCCTAAAATTCACGAAAATTCTGTCCAAAAAACATATTAAAGCATGCCAACAACAATTCAGATTTTGAAGGGACAAAATTGATTGTATTTTCCTAATTGTTATGGGCCTTAGTAACATTAATCCAAAATTCGAGGGTTAACCATGCAATTTCTGAAATTTGTTGCATGCATGTTACGAAGCTTTCTTATGCTTCTGCAATTTCTTATCCGCAAGGTTCTGTAACTTTCCATACCGCAACTTTCTTTCCATTTCAGCATGCAGACATGTTCACCAACTACCAGGATCTTAACTCTCAATTATCAACTAAATCAAAAGCTACATTTTGTTGCAGGATTAAGCAAAAATCTGAGCTGACCGTCAAGGACAAAGGGAACTAATCAGCAAAAGAAAAAAAATGCAGCAGGAGCTTTCTCTGCAAAATCACATTTACAAGCTTTCCGTAGCTCTCGGCTATTCATCACCTAAATCTATCGCACAACAATGAACGAAAAGGGAACTACAACATGCCATTTTGATAAGAAAAACAATTCCATCCCTCTAGCATCAAGAACATGAACTAAACTACCCAACCTGATAAACAAAGTTTCTGAAACAAGAACATACAAGGCAGGAGCAAAGAATCTGGCTTGACTGAGATAGAAAGAGGGAGGCCTCAACAACTCGAGCGGATAAAACACTAAAGAAAGACCCAGGCAACATCAAAACCTTAGGTTTCCTTTTAAAATTCTGGTTTAAGACTTTTTGCGAGAAAATTATTTCAATCAGTACCAACCTACCCCATTACCGATCACTGGATTGAGAGCAAGAGGAAAGGAAAGAGGATATACAAACGGATACTTATGCATATTTTAATAGAAAATAAGTACAGAATTCATTCATCAAAAATGTTAACGGATACTTATGCATATTTTAATAGAAAATAATTGCGGTAATTTTTATACATATCGAAAATTAATAGAAATAAGAAACAATCAAAGTCTGCTTTATGACTTCTAATTTTTAAAATTTAAGCACCAGCCAACCAGAGACAATATGATAACTAACAATTAATGTGTTTCATTTTTCAAGTGGGAATAAAAAATGAAAGATCAAAAAATATCCAGAGAAAAAGGACAAAACCGTTTTCCAGGAAATGGGTAGTCATTGTCTGCAAGTCATTTCTACTGATTTTCATTTCTTAGTATTGAATTGCACCGGCCAAACCCACCCTTGGGGGGGCCTTAACTTCCACGTTTTGCAAAACAGCCACAACAATAAAGGACAAAAAAAATAAAAACAAAGAAAACATCAAGGACCTCTGTTTTGTCGGTTGGAGGAAGAATCAGGACGCAGCAAAATCACAACCTTAGATTCAAGAACTTAAAGCTTAAAAAATATATATATATATATTGGAACATCAGAAATTAAAAAGGCAAAAAAGGCAGAATCAAGCAAAAAAGGGAGATAGGAAAACATCCCTTTATGCAAAATTGAAGGAGGTATATTAATATCTTATCCCTCTCTGCAAAATTTCAAGTTATATTATAAGAAACTGATGAAGCTGCACTCATCCCATCACCACAAACAAGACTGGAAAGAGAGTATTAGTGCTTCTCATCTAAATATGTACATCTGATTAACCCCAACAACAAAAAAAAAAGAAAAGCTAGAAAAACCCATAAGACAAAAGGGGGGGGAAACAGAAGAAGAAGAAGAGGAAGAAAGCAGGTACAAGGAAGATGAAATCACTGTCTCTAATATGATTATTTAGTTTCCAACAGAAATAGGTCTATTTTCAGCCAATCCCAAGGGTGATCTTGAGCGCTATTGTCGACTGACGAGGGTGATTTCTTTAAGAGCTGGTCTCATCTCTGGCTGCTGAAGAGCACAGAGTAGCAATCATAACACACAGATTTCTCTTTGACATTTCACCAAACATCTTATATGCATTCACAAATTAATCACATTTAACTTAAACGCCTAGTCTCAAGTCCTTTCCTAGATGTTTCATATGGCTATTAAGCATATTTTACCGTAGACAATCAAAACTACAACCATTTCCTAGATGTTTCAGTGGACATTTTCAGCCCCAAAATTGCAATAAAATCTTCAAATTCTCAGCCTTGATTTCGCAAGAAAATCTTGACAAACAAAACAAATGAACTATAAATAAATTACAGCAATATAATCAAACGATTTCAAGAGGACATGATGGTCTAACCTCGTCACTGCTATTTTTCATACGCTCTTTGGTTGGCTACCACCGTCGCTAACCCTTTTATTGTGTTTGCATATGGCAGCACCCAAAAACAACCGATCGATGAGAAAGGATAGAGGGAAAGTGAGAACTGAAGATGAAAATATTGAAGTGAGAAAATTTATTCAATTGTAACCAAGAGAAAGTGTGGACCAAAGTGGAAACCTTTGCCTGGGAATTCAATCGTATGTTGGAACTGAGAACTAAGTAATAAGAAGGCAGATGACTTTAAAGAGATGATATCCGAAAGTATTTCAGGAACCCAAAACTGTTTTCAGAAACTGGTAACTTTTTAACTTAAATATGAACATTTTTTACTTGTAGTATTAGTAAGTTTAATTCAAAAATAAGTAATTTTCGTCAAATAATAAGTAAATTAAATTACTCAAAGTGTAAATTTCTATTTCTGACTAAAACTTATCTTTCAGGCATAAACTTACTAGTTTTAATTAAAAACTTATTAAATTTAATATTAATTATTTTAATATAATATTTAAAAAGTCGCTAAAAATTTGGATCTGTCACTAAAGGTAATAGAAACCTATAATAGCAGGTTTCCCTAATATCGTTACCATAACTATAGGCACTGTAGCATTGTCCCCAGCAGAAATAAAGAAAGCTTCGTTGCATGCATGTAAAAAGTTTCATAATTTGCATTCTAACCCCTTGAGTTTCATTTAATGTTGCTATGGCCCATAAAATTGGAAATTTAGTCAATTCTGACCTTTCAAAAATATTAATTTCTTTGATATGATTTAATCTAATTTCTTTTGGATTGATGTTTTAGTGAATTTTATGATGATTTTTGAAGTTTTAACAATTGTTAATAGATTATAATTTGATTTAGATTTTAGTGGAATTTTGGATAATTTGTTGTTTAGTTATAAAAAGGTTTTCCTACATTTTTTGTGAAGTTTAGCATTTGGTTTTGGTAGACTTCATCTTAAGCCCTTAGCTTCATTTTATTTGAGACCCTTAATATTTGTAATAGTAATAAATTAACCTCTCAAACTTCTTTAATTTTTGCCATCAAGTCCCTACTTGCTTTAATTTCTTAAACATGGGTTGTTTACCTTCATTTGAATGCCTTGATTTCGTGTTTATTCCCATTTCATGTGATTATTAGTTAATTAAAGTGATGCCTTGACCATTTTTTTTTTTTGATTTGGAGGGTAAATAGAAAATTTCACTTCATTAGGGTACCGATTCAAGGGAGGTACACTATACCCCTTATTTTGATTTTACTTGACTTTATGTGCCCCTATGTAACTTTATGTGCTTAATTA